CAAAAGCTACAATGGCTGCGGGATGCGAACCGGGATCTCTGCGGCGAATTATCACGTATCTAACTGATTGAACTATACAATCTTATACTCAAATTTATATCTTATTAAAATTAAAAAACAATATTTTCTAAGATCTATACTTCGAAAAGCGTATTCAAACAGGACTCTACATACCTTTAAAATCTGCTAGAACTTTAGTAACGTGAACACTTTTAGAAATTATTGAAATAGGTATATTTTATCAGAAATATGCTTAAGCTAAAGCATATTTTTGAGTCTCTTTTTACTATTTGCTTAAGCATATTCGAACCTGTTTCAAAAATTTCATATGCTATTAAAAAAAAAACATGTATATTCCTACCCATCATTCTTATTTTTAATATACGTAATGAGTTCAAAAAACATCGTTGTATATATTTATTATGGCACGTTTCGTAAGTTGATTTCCGTTAAGAATTCTTTCGTATGTTGTGATCCGAAATACTTTCGTTTCGAAAGAAATTTTATTTTTTATTAATATTTCTAAAAATAAAACCATAAAAATTTAATAGTTATTATACTGAGTTATAAAAATTCATTATAAATATTTTGGGATTTAAAGATGTTAATTTTTACAATTAAAATCAGTCTGGCAAACAAATTTTCTTTATAGACTTCAAAACGTCGTTTGGCGAAAATGTTTGTTTCGCAAGTGCGACTTCCGAAACCGCTACTTTCGTATGTTGCAAAATAGTTTTGTTTCGTATGTCAACTTGCGAAATGCTAAATTTCGGAAGTGGCTTTTGCGAAATGAACATCGGCGATTTTAAATGTTTTGTAACATTCGGTACGAAAAAATGTAATTCCGCGTTCTCATTCTCCTTACGAAAGAATGTTGTTTTTCCGGAATTGCACGAAATCCTCCGGTTAACAACCCTAGCAATAACCACGTTTTAAATTTTTTAAAAATATTTAATTAAAATCACAGACTATAATTACTCGGTTGAAGATGTTTAGCCGTATTTCTCTGATGAAATAATAAAGTATTAAATTAAAAAAATGTTGACTTTGTGGTATGTTTATATATAATAAACTATTTGATTTAAAATAAACTCTAAATTAAACTTTTGTATAATTTAGAGTTAATTATTGCTGTGTATTACATATTATTGTATATTTCTGACGTTAACTTTATACTCAGCATCTTAAATGTGTCAGTATCTCAAAACCCAAACGTTTTTTTTACTGAGTCAGTAAAACTCATTGAGTTGTATAGAAGATGCGACTCATTGAGATACAACTAATTTAACTGTAAAGTTGTAAAAACTTATATACCTAAGAAATCGACAAAGTATTAGTTAGTTGTACATACTCAAAATGGATAAAAGTAACTAGTCGGGTCCCTTAGAGTTCAGTTATTGGCCCAGTTATCCAGTTACTCAGTTATTACAAATGTTAATGATTTTCCTGATTTGGTAGTATCAGCTGTTGTATTGGTATTTGCCGATAATACTAAGTTATTCAAATTACTTTCTGATAGCTCATCATGTAATAACTTGCAAGTTTAAATGTTAAAAATGTAAAGTTATGCAAAAATCATCTATACACTCGTTGATACAATTCTCAATACCTCAATTAATCTAAAAAACTCTCTCTTCACAAAAGACCTTGGGGTCTTCGTTGACTTTTATTTGATTTTTTTCTTCCCTTGTAAATAGAAAAATTAACACCGCGAGTAAAAACGTTGGAATGATTAAAAAATCATTTTTAAATCTCAATATCTCGACATTTCGTACTTTGTTTGTTTCCCTTGTTTGTCCTCACCTTGATTATTGCTGCTCGGTCTACTATCCTAGGCTGAAAAAAGATCAAAGAATAATTGAAAATATTCTACGCAAATCTAGTAAAGTTGTTCTCGATTAGATCGGCACAAGTAGATACAAACCTTTTCTCATATTCCGTGATTTCAAAAGCGTTTTAAGTTCCAAAATTAAATGTCAGAATTGTAATAAAACGTTATAAGGAAAACAAAACTGCAAAAATAAAATCAGGAAATGGTGGAAAATCAAGATTCATTTCCAATTAGAAGGCAAAATCAACAGTCGACTCAATTCATCGTAATCCGACTCAATCACAGCAAGGTTTAGCAACGAAGTTTAAATGGAGTAAACCTTTTGTTCAATGATTGTACATACTAAAAGAAAAAAATACCGAAAAGGTTGTTTAATGAAGAAATGAAAGGAACATGAACGAGCTAAAAATTTGCTTCAGTTAATTATATATATATATATATATATATATATATATATATATATATATATATATATATATATATATATATATATATATATATATATATATATATATATATATATATATATGCATTTCATTTCATGCATTTCTATGCATTTCAGAAGACGATAAAGCATACTGTAAAAAAGATCTCGAGATACTTACAGGTAATTAATACTATTAACAGTCGAACCTTTATAAAGCTTCTAAAAAATTTAAGTTCATTTGAGTTGAAAAATTTGCTCCTAAGTTCCTTGTGCGGTAGGCTTTTAGCAATTGTAGTTTTAAAAACTTCCCTTTCATAACAAATCAATCTTTGACATCGGATCTACATGTGACTGAATAAATGAAAAATGACATCTTCCTCTAATTAAAAGCATAAACAACCAATCTTATAATAGCCAGATTTGGCATCCATCTACTATTATAAAAGTAATGCAGTGGTATAAGAAAAATATATATTCAATTTTGTTCCAAAGGGTGCTCCACCAAACTGTACTGAGCAGCAAGTTATGGATTCTTTCTCAGCAATTGTAAAAAGAATATTGAGGAAAAAAGGTAAATGTACAAATAGTGTTATAGTGTTATAGTGTTAAACGAGATTTATGGATTAATGCTACAAAAAAAGTGACGCAAAGTAAAATTATGGAGATGATGGCGGGTCAAAAAATTAAATTGATTACACGTCGTAAAGTCAAAGATTTATTTATTTTTGTTGAAATAAAAACTAATTATGTAAGCACCATTATAAAAAAAATTCATTACAACTGATTGGTTTTTAAGAAAACTCAATTTAAAATCGTCCATGTTTTATAATCGTCCAGGTGCAGTCTAAAATGATGGAATAATATTTCAAATTTTGAACATAATTTATAATTTTTGTTTGACAGTATTACAAATTAGATTAACTACTTCATTTTGAATTGTTTTGCACAAGTAATGGTCATGAGTTTCCTATGTTTTATACGCCGTAAATGATTTTCTAGACATAAATCGTACTTTTCTTGCAATTAAAACATTCCCAAAAAATCGGGTTTATTTGGTTGAAACAAGTAATACACAGTACAAAATTTGAATTGTTTGTTTAAAAAAAAATAATTCATAGTGCGACGAAATTCTTTTGTGAAAGAAATTGCACGATTAAAATGGTTCTCTTTAAAACATTGTTCCGTTGCTGGGTCAAACCGGAACCGTTGTTCCGTTGCTGGGTCTCTTTTTGGACTAGTTTTTTTCCTTGCCAATTGTCTTACGTTCCTTCTATCTCAAACCAAGCGCCGACAGCATAAATATGCTTTATGGACAATTTATATTCAACTAGAACACTAGACATGTTCTTCTGATTGCTGCTGTGTTCTTGACTTGCTCCTTTTAATTGTGTTCTTGAATTTTAGATCTGAAAACTATCGACAGTAAAAACTAAATTGAGTCTTTTTATGGTTTGAATAAACTCGCCAAGAAAAATATGAGCATTTTGCAACTTCCTCAAAAAAGTCCACAAAAATATACCTTTTTTTAGAACTTTCGAATAAAAAGGTGGCCTTAAGTGGAGTAATACAAATTACACTTTTGCAAGGCTCTTTTTAAACTTATCACTTAGACAGTTTTGCCCAAGACGTTTACAACAAAGTTTCCTAAAAGACCTAGTTGCGTCCTAGTTATTAGAAAAATTTAAGCTACCCATATCAAAGTTTAACTCTAAATTTTGATAAATACTTATTTGGAAAAGAAAAAGTCAAATTTTATGGTTTTATATTTTCAAAAGAAGGAATGCAACCAGATTCGAGAAAACCTTATAATATCAAGAACGTGCCAACACCAGAAAACACTAAAGCTTTCTTAAGTTTTCTTGGGCTTATGAACTACTCAGAAGTCAAGGATGCTCAACGTCTACCTAAACTCTTGTTGTTTTTTTTTAATACTGGTAAAGAAACAATTGAGTGGTTTGATCAAGACGGTGTTGATACCTCTGACCTCAACTGACCTTCAATAGTAATTAAAGAACACGAAACTCCAATACTTGAAGGTCAAAGTCCGATTTGGAAATAAATTTTAGTCTTAAACATAACTATGCCAATTGTATTTTTTTTTAAACATAAAATATTTCAATTAAATAAACACTAATGAAAATTAAAAATTTTGGTCTTTGTCACGTCACACAGGGGTGAGAGTGGGGGATGGATTTCTTTTAAATGTTACAAAATGTCATATAGAGGAGGGTCTCTTAAAAGGTTTAAAAAAATGTCAGATATTATTTGAATAGCTGTTTAAACCTGTGATAAATTATTAAACTTGAGGACCGTCGCAACGAGATTTCAATGTGGGTGGGGGATGAAGTATCAGTTTTTTGCCGACTAAAGCCAAAAAAAGTTTATTCGTCTACTAACTTATCTAAAAAAAAAAATAAAAAAAAGGTTCTCGTGGCCAAACATTTGCTGACTGCCAACTAGATTAACTAACAAATGCTAACAATTTGTCTCCAATTTTGCCGACTCCAGTGTGCAATATGCCGACATAAAATTCGTAGGGGGCTAGACAAACCCCTCGGGACGGCCCTCCTAAACTCTATATTGATCAAATCAAAAATGTAAGCCTGAAAAAAGTGTACTTTATGAGCTAATTTTATTTTTTCTTAAACAGTGATGTTTAATAACTTTTATTACAATTCTATTGCACTATATTATATTAAATTATTTTTGTATATTACTAATGCATATTGTACGTTTGCTTAAATTTTCACTAAAAAAGGGGTTTCGTAAGGTAGCTTTTCGGAACAGAATTGACGCTAGTTAGTCGCTTCGCTGTTTTATACTTTATAAGTCACTTACCTGGGTAGTTATTTATTCATTAATAATAAATTAGGCTGAAATTTGTAAAGATGTCTGGCAGAACAAGAAAAAGAGCCAAAGAAGAAGGTAAAAAAAAAAAAAAAAGTTTTTAAAATACTTTTTAATGACAACAAGGTATGTAAGTGATAACCGGAACCTTTTCTTATCTGATGATAAATATCTTTATCTGATGTTGAGAGAAACCTGGAAATAAAAATAAAGTGTTCTTAATTTAATTAAGTATAATATTTTTAAACTGTTTTTATTTAAATTATTTGATTTAGACATGTTATTAGTATGAAAAGTCTTTCATAATAAACAAGTCTAAAGTTTAACTATAGTATAAGTCTAAAGACATACAATGTATAATTCTAAAGACATGCAATGGTTTTCGACATAAAATAAAAAACCTTAGAATAAAAATGTAAACATCACTAATTTTAGCAGCAGTGCACTATTGATCTCTGCAATGTTACTTAAAATATTGTATAAAACAATATAAAACATTTTACATAATGCTCTTTTTTTATAAACCTATAAAAATAAATCAGACCATTTTAAAAAGTATATAAATTGGCAAAATATTAAAAATCGTAAGTTTTTTTTATCTAATTTTTGGCATTATTTTTATTGTGTTAATGCAAGTAATTATTGCTTTATATAGTGTATCTTGGTAAGTTTTTGAGATAGATAGATCATTCTAACCACAGTTTTAAAGTCGGCTTGAGATCAACACTCTTTTTCATTTCAGTAATTGTTAAGGTTGAGCTTTTCTTTGTCGAGTTCTCTTTACTCTTGATTCAATTTTCTACCTCTAAAAATTTCTTATTCCCTCTAAAAATTTCTTATTCTTTATATGAAATACTATTGAATATTTATTCTGGTTCATCTAAAGATTACTTTTTGGTAAAGTCCAAAATTGTATTTTAAATGAAGTTGTAGATCTGCTCTTTCTGTCAATATTGAGTCACTATACTATCATTGTAATGTTGCGTCTCTTTCTCTTTTCTACAAAAGCTAACATGGTTGTTACTCAAATGAGCCATCATCTCTTGTTAACGTTGCATAATACGTCACACATGTTATTAACATTATTTACATATTTTATTTACGATTTTATGTAATTAGTTTTAGAAGAGAAGAGCACAATTGTGTATGTTAAAAAAATATGTCATCATACATGATGCTATAATTAGGATTTAGTCCAAACAAAAATTTAAAAATCAAATTAAAATAAGCAATACTTAAAAAAAGCATAAGATTTAATCATTTATTAACAATTATTTGTTAATATGGCAACTCATAAATCAGAAACAACGTTTGAATTAAAAAGGTTCAACGAAAAAGCTCTACAAATGATGTTAGACATGTAACAACAACAAATGCATATGCTGAATCAAATGACCAAAATAATGAAAACGATTATGCCATCACAAAATTAAAATAATATCTCATTATTAACTTCAACAAACAATATTAATACACTGCCACTGGAAATCAATTGACCATCCATAGAATCTGTTATCTCAGACAATAAACTGATGATTTTCCTCAACTCATGGATGAGGTATAAAGAAATTAAAAAACTAACTGAGACAAGAGATATCTATAATGAACTATGACTGACTTGCAGCGCAACAGTTAACAAGATGCTTTTAAATTTTGTTGGTTTGATTTGTCATTCAGCAAAGTTGTATACTATATAGCATAAAAGGACTGATATACTTTTACTATATCTGTCCTTTTATGCTCAAAAAAGTTTTATACATCTAGTTTCTTTCTTGCACATCAATGTTTTGAACTGGGTGTGAATTAATTGAAAAAAGTGCATAATTAAACAGTATCATCTGATTATCAAAGTTATTAATTTATGTATTTTTATCTTGCAAATAATCTTGCAAATAATCTTCCAAAAAAAAAAAAAGTTTAGTATCATGAAGATATTTAATAAACGAAAAAAAACACACAGTAAATACCTCATATTTATTGTTGATGTAGTTATTTAAATCTTTTATTTAAACAACTTTATGATATTTGCTTAAATCTAGTTTTCTCCAAGTAGATGTTTTCTAATAAGCATTAAAGCAAACCTCAGCATTTGTTTAATAGCACATTTTGTCGAGCCCTAAAACTCTATGCTACATTGTTTCTTGATTAGAATGTTTTGCTTTCTTTGGTAGTGACTATGCAATTCTTTTTGGTAGTGACAATGTAGGTCTTTTTGTTCTTTTTGTTTCCTGATAGCTCTAAAACTCAATGTAATGATTTTTTGGATGGTTAATAGTAAGGGTTTTACTGAACTCTGTGGTTACTCTTAGAGAGGTTGATTCAATCTATATGAAAATCATAGTACTAACAGTGCTATGTTGTATATAGATAGTGAGTTTCTGTTAATTGCTTTTGGTCTGCATTGTCACCACTTAAGGTTAATAAGCAGGAATGTGGGACCTGCATAGCTTATTGGTGCGGAATACTATATATGTAGTCAAAGTTTTGATAGAGTTAAATTTTCAAGTTATTTTTTAATTTTTGATTGTTATAATTTAAATGATTACTATAATATCTAAAAGTATTAAAAGTGAAAAATGTTTTTTTTTAAAACTTTTTATTTTGTATTCTTGTCACTTCAAAATTGACCTATTTGCTTTTGTTCCAAAAATTTAATTTTAAGTATGGTATTCAACTTGAATCCTCTGGGACTTTTGCTTAGCACGCCTTATTCATTTACCTTTTTCTTTTGCTCTTCATGTTTCTAATCATTAGAATGTTTATAATGAAATTAACTTAGTTTGGTAAACTTATGTATTAGTAATACAAACTATAAGACATAAAATGTTAAGTTTTTTTTAAAAAAAACCTGGTTTTTTTTTCCAACTTTGATTTGGGTAGTATTTGAATTAAATATATTTTGTCTGCTTTTTATTTTTTTACGTGTATGCTTTGTTATTTATAATTTGTTTTTTAATTTGAATTTTTTTATAAATTAAGTTTGACTTTATCACTTTTTTACTTTTTTTGTTACATGTAAATTTTGATTGATTTTTTTAAGTGTTTTATCTATTTAAATTCTAATTAAAATAATTAAACAAAAACAAACACTTTATTTTAATTCTAAATAAAGTAAAAATGGCAAAAGAACTGTTTTTAACTAAAATACTTAAAATAAAACAGCAAAACAAATGGTTTGTTTAAATTTGAGATAAAATAAGTAGAAACAGAAAAACAAATTTTTTATATAAATTCTAAAAAAAAAAATCAAAAAAAAAAAGCAAAATGAGTGTTTTTTTTATGTGATGTATTGTTTTTGAAAACTGTTGACAGAATGTTTGTGCTAGTTTCTTTCCTATCTTTAAAATATAACATGATACTATTTAGTGTAAAATAAATATTCACTAACAAATAAAAAAAACAGTGAATAAAATGTGTGTTTTTTAATGTTTCTAAGTGAGCAACAACACTTGAATAAAAAAAAATTGACAAACTTGGCATTCTTTTTTTAATGAATCTATGCTAAATGTTCGCGGAATCATGACTCATTTTTCAGACAACCCAAATTACTTACCTTCACTCCTTTATTTGTGTCTGGTCTCTGACCCTAGGTTTTGTTCAATTTTTGTTGTCCTCATTTAGCTGGTTCCGACCATCTAATCATATAATGGTATAAATCTTTTATCTAATACTTCTTCAGACTCACCCTATAGCCGACTGGGATTTTCTTTGTGATTTTTTGTGTGATTTTTTTGTGATTTTTTTGTCTTTAGGCTGATTTCTTTTATTTCTCTCTTAATAAATAGGCCTCTTACATGAGATCCTGGATCCAGCAAGTATGGTAGTTTATATTCCTTCTTGTCTTTTTTAAAGTCAAGCTTTGTTCTACTCCATGGTTTTCACCTTCTTGTGCAACTGCTATATCTAATTGTTATCATATATCAGTTAACTGAATCTTGTATCCTATCTCAGAAATTTCGAAAGACTTTTATTTCAATATTGTTATTAACAAAGGTAAGTCAAGTTAAACATTCCATCTTTAATGCATCTGTCTGATCTTATTACCTCTCCCAAGGACTATTTTCCAATAACTTTTTATCTAATATGACTCTCAGGGGTTACCCTTTACCAGATTTATCTGGAATTCCAGATATTTCTTTTAATTTTAGTTTTTCCCAGTTTTCCAAAAAGTTGTTCATAAATACAAATTTTAATGCATTTTTGCAATTTAGTTTGTTCTTTAACTTTTTCAGTCAATACTTACACATAAAAAAAGGAAAATTAAAAAAAAAAAACATAAATGCCATTAGCTTAAAGGGTTATTCCATATGAAATCATCCAGGTCATGACACCCTTACGTCTCAGAATTTGTTCATTTTTACCTCACTTGCAGTCCATGTTAAAAAAAAAAGTAGATAATTGCAAAAATTTTAGTTAAAAATACACATGGGTTCCAGAGATATCCTCAGTTAAAATAATGCTGACTTGGCATTTTAGTGATTATCTAAAGCGACTACAAAGCAACTTTGACATATAGTATCTTCATAATGGCTTAGAGAAATTTCCTAAAATTTAGTACACCAATAGATTTTTATTTAATATACCCAAAAGTAGCACCCTCAAGACTCAATTGTCTCAGGAAAAGCTTTGTTTATCCAACTTTGTTCAAAATTATTGACTTATAAATTCGTTATTTTTGGAGTTAAAATGAAGACTGTGGTCCGAAATCCCAAGTAAAAAGTTTAATTGTATACCATTATTTTATCTTAGGTCTACTGAAAAAAAATTAGATTCATCAATAGGTCTGTTCCCAGTCTGGTTGCCAACTTATTGCATTGCGTTCTGGTATCACTTAAGGGGTGATACCAGAACGCAATGAAATAGCAGAAGTTTTTTTTGAACATATTGGTTTTTCTTCAGAATTACATTTAGATCCTTCTGTGTCCCAAAAGGATTGCAACACTTTATAATTTTTCTCTCAAAATATTTTCCATAGAATTCATGATAACAACATATAATTCTTATTCAACAATATTTTTCCTTTAATTTTGCTCATGATATTATTTCTTCTTGTTTTTCACAAGGAAGATCTTGGAATA